CGCAGCAGCCGGGCCCCTCACCCTGGGGGCTGCAGAGCGGTGCGGGTTTCCGTCTGCACCTACCATTCGCCTAGAGGAGGCGCAGGCAAGTGGGGAGGTCTGGAAACAGAGGCTGTCAAAGAGCTGGAGGGTGTCCCGTTGCACATCCGTCGGCGCCCCGCCCGCGCGAGGCCCCTGTGCTTTCCCGCCCCGCGCAGTCTAACCCTCGGTACTGGACGGTGCTGTCACTTTTCACAGGAAAGAGAAGGAAGGATACGGGTGTGTTTCTGTTTCTTCTTTCCTGAATCTGGTCTTTACGTGGAAATGATTTATCCTCTACAATCTCCTGTAACCGGCTGAGACTCCATGACCTTCATCTGTTAAAGAAGCAGACCCCTGGATGGAAGAAGGGGGTCGTTAGAGATGAGTAGCGGCAGCTGGTTAGTCCCGTGGTGGGGACTCGGTAGCTTCCTGTGTGTGTTAATGCAGGTGACACCCAGCAGTGACTCCAGCACCTGCTCCCAGATTTCCGTTTCTGAACACCGCTCTCCAGTAAGAGGAACCTGAGCTCCTGGGAGAAATGATGGCTTTTCCGACGGGGCTGGGGAAACAAGATGAGCTTGAGTTACCTTGTACTTCCCAAACGTGAGGAACTGCTCAGAAAAGAAAAAGGAGAGCAGTGTATCCACAGGACACAGGGCCCAGCCTAAGGAACCCCGTGAGGCCAAATCGGAACAATTTAAGGAGCAAAGTGACTACTGCAGTATTGGATTCTAACCCAAGTACAAAATAAAGATACACGAGTCTATACTAATCTACATAAGTGGCTAAAGAAATGAAAAAGGCCCTCGCTGGTTTGGCTCAAAGGTCCCAGGTTCAATTCTAGTCAAGGGCACATGGCTGGGTTGCCGGGCTTGATCCCCAGTAGGGGGTGTGCAGGAGGCAGCTGATCAATGATATTCTCTCATCATTGATGTTTCTAATTCTCTGGCCCTCTCCCTTCCTCTCTGAAATCAATACAAATGTGTGTGTGTATATATATATATTTAAAGAAATGAAAAAGACTGAAGTGTCTTGCAGAAGAATTCCAAACAATATCTGTAAATACTCCTGCCCCACACAGGAAGTTGAACCAAATCTTCTGCCTCCTTGAGGGAAGGTGAGACTTAGTCACTGGTAAGGAAAGTGGGAAAATAACTTTTATGTGGAGAAAATTGGTAAATGCCACCTTAACTAAGTGCTGGCTGAAAACACCAGAGATGCCATGTAGATGTCATGTACCCCGATACACTGTGATGAAAAGGGAACCCTACCTCTGTGATATTGTTTCCCAGTCCCATTACCCCAGTGCAGTAACGAGAAAAAGGCGTCAGAAATACAGATTGGACAACATGCTATCACATTCCACAGGATACCTGGCCAGTATTTTCCCAGATGGCCAAGGTCATGAAAAAAAAAAAAGATTCAGAAACTATTGCAGGCCAGAGGTGACTGGGGATATAGGACCACTAAATGCAATGTGGTGCCCTGGACTGGCTAGATCCTGGAACAGAATGATGACATTAGTGGAAAAACTGGCACAACTCAAATCATGTCTGAGGATTAATTAATAGTAATGTACCAATGTCAGTTTCTCCATTGATAGTAAGATAAGATGCTAACTGTAAGGGAAACTGGGTGACAAGAATATGGAGACTCTAATGCTATCTTTAAAACTTTGTTGTAAATCTAAAATTATTTCATTTCTGGTCAAGATGGTGGACTAGATAAACGCTTTACTGGCCTCCTCCCACAATTACAACTAAGCTACAGAACAACCATCATTCAGAAACCCCTGAAGTCAAGCTGAATGGAAGTCCTACATCTAAGGATTTAAAGAAGCTACATTGAGACTGGCAGGAAGGGTGGAGAGGCAGAGTGGGCTGGTCCCACACCCACATGTGGCAGATAAAAATTAGGAGGGCTATCTGCCACCCCCCCCCCCCGAAGGAGAAAGGGTTCCCAAGCCTACACCATGCTTCCCAGCCCAGGGTTCTGGTGCCAGGAAGAGACATCCCCATAACTTCTGACTATAAAAACCAGTGGGAATTGAGGCTGAGAGAAATGGAGGGCTGCTAGAGTCCTAAGCAGTTCCTCTTAAAGGGCCTGTGCACGGACTTACTTGGACTCACTCCCTCTGAGCTCCAGTGCTGAGGCAGCAACTTGAAAGGCACCAGAGACATAAAGGGAGTAACTGATTGTCTAGCATGAGGGCAGCTTTCTCCCACATAGAAGTGCCCACAGAGGCCATTGTTCCTTAATTTTGAAAAACTTCTGGAGCTTATGATGGGAGTAGCAGGAAATGTGGCCTGTTGACTAAAGCTTCTCCCATCTCCTCACCCCCAGGTTGGTTGGAAAATTGGTAGGCTTAACACTGTGACTGGCTGCAAAACTGTACACTTTGCTAGCTGATAGTGGTGGGAATGGACCCAAAAAAATCTTCAGTCTTCCTAGTCCAAGCTTCCACTCCAAGTTGCAGTGAGTATGGGGTAGCAGACCAGCCATAAATGTGACAGAGAGATCCTGGGAGAAAGCCGTAGAAGGCTGAGCTATGCTCTTCACACATTCCTAACTAAGTGGGAAGCTATGCATGAGTGAGAGACCAGAAGAGCTCATGGAAAAGTGAAAGCCAAGAGAGCTTTGTAAGTGTTACCCAACCCACAGATTGGTCTTCCAGGCTCAAAGTATTTAGGTTCAACCTCTACTGAAATCATTGGCTGAATATTACATTAGGAAGAGACAGGAGAGACCCCTAGGAATAAATAAAAATAAGAATTTAAAAAATCCAAACCCAATAGGACACACCTGAGGCTGTGCACTGCAGGGGAGAGAGATTGTTGGGGACCGGGTGTAAGCTGACATGGTCCTTGCACTTGAAGGGGCTAGCAAGGCTGGGACCCTTACCCACACAGTTTTCACAGACTTGTTTGGATGGCAATTATCAGTAGAATGAGAGTAACCTTTGTAGAATGAGAACAGCCTTTTATAGCTTACCAAGAAGTCTGTCACTATTTACTGAGATATGCTGTACTGAGAACTTGTCCTTCTGCTCTGTCTCTCCCTTAGAGATTAAGAGGAACAAAGAATACATTCCTCTTGACAGACCCCTATTCAGTGTTTTGTGCATAAAAGGCATTGCATGGTTAATAAACTTACTGCAGTTCCTCGATTGATCTGTAGTCCTCCCGATCCCGCTCTCCTGTCTTTCTTTCTTTTCTCAATTCCCACCTCCCTACCTCAGCCCGGTTCAACCTGTCAGGCTGGCCCTGACAAATTGGCGCCCGAAAGCCAGGGACCTGAGGACTTGGGAAGTAGATGGTGAGGAACTCCTCTGGATAAAGAGTGCACTCGTTAAGGTAAGGGAGGAGCACTTTTTTGGTAGTCGGGAGTAAAGCACGGGACGGTTAGAATCTGGGGAAAGTGCCCCTTATGGCCAAATGTTAAAGTCTGTGCTCAACAGTAAAGGAGCTGAGGTTAATGACAAGCAAGTAGAGGATTTTTAAAATTCATTCCGGAGGCCTGCCCTTGGTTTCCTGAGGAAGGAACTTAGAAACGTGGCAGAAAGTTGGAGAACAAATGCACAATCATTATAAAGCCCTTGGGCCAAGTAAGATCCCAGTTGATGCATTTTCCTTATGAAATTTGATACGGGATTGTTTAGATCCCAGGCATGACCATAATCAACTGTCTCTTAAGCCAGGAAAAAAAGAGAAGCAGTGTGATGGCACAAAACAGGGGTCTAAAAGAGACAGCATATTAAAGAGGAATAATGTAAATTTTTTTGAATAATGTAAATTTTAAAGACAAATTAAATCCTCAAGATGAAGAGGATCTTGAGGAAGCTGTTGCCCTTTATCATGATGATGATACAGGTGTTGTTCAGGCAAACGAGGAGGAAGAATATTTTTCTGCTGGAACTGAAGAGGGTAGTGATATAGAGGATGTGTTAGAACACTTTTTAGAAGCATTAAAGCTTCTTGGCAAGAAGAGAAGCCGCGGGGGCCATTCCCGCCGCCCTCCGCTGCCTTGTGCAGCACCTGTTCCACTTTCCCCTCTCCAGATGGCTTTGCAGGAGGCACAAAAGTGTGGTGAGGAATTGGGCATTCATGCCTTCCCCGTTATGGAACAGGTGAACCCTAATATGGGACGTGAGCGTGCTTATGACCCGCTTCCTTTTAAAACCCTGAAGGAGTTAAAAACAGCCTGTGCTCAGGATGGGCCTACTTCCCCTTATACTTTAACCATCTTGGAAACTATGGCTTCAGAGGCTCTCCCATCTAATGATTGGAGAGCTATTGCCATGGCTTGTTTATCAGGAGGGGATTATCTCTTGTGGAAATCAGAATATGATGAAAAGGCTAAGGCACAAGCTGCTCATAATCGAGTTGCCCAGATTAATATTTCTTATGAAATACTGGTAGGAGAAGGAGCCTATGCTAATACCCATAATCAAATTCAATACCCCCAGGAAGCTTATGGGCAAATTAATGGAGCTGGGATCAGAGCCTGGAAAAAGTTACTCACCTCTGGTCAGAAAACAGAGGAGCTCTCAAAAATTATTCAAGGGCCAGATGAAAAGTATCAGGATTTTGCCTCTCAGCTATTACAGGCTGTTGGCCGAGTAGTGGTGGATGGAGAGGCTGGCATGTTAATAGTTAAACAGTTGGCATATGAAAATGCCAACACTGCCTGTCAAGCTGCACTGCGGCCCTATCAAAGACAGGGGACTCTCTCAGATTATATCCGCATTTGCGCAGATATTGGTCCCTCATATATGCAAGAAGTCACCATTGCGGCCGCATTAAAGGGAACCGCCATTGAAGGAATTCTTCAGCAACAGTTTAGCACAGGGAAAAGTCAAACACATAAGTGTTTCATTTGTGGAGGAACAGGACACATGGCAAAATAGTGTCCCTCTAATAAAGGGGTTAAAAAGGAAATGGCAGAGGTCCCAAGCAACCTGGACTATGCCCTAAATGTAAAAGAGGAAAACATTGGGCAAATAAGCATAGATCTAAGACACATGTCCAGGGAAATTCCTTGCCTCA